AAAAAATCATCTGCATCGGCTTCAAATAACTCCAAACAGTCGCGTGAAATAGTCAATCGCGTCCTTTTTTGTTGAACTGAAAGCAGTCGCGGAACCCACCTCGCAGACACCTTGTGGAAACCCAACTCGTTGACAATGATGTTTTGAGTTCGTTCATAAGAGATGCCTATAATCTCGGCTATCTCTCTAATTTTTAATCTGCGGTCTCCTATTATTAAATCAAGTACTTTTTTAATATTTTCGTCAGTAGTTGACGTCGAAGGCCTTCCAGAGCGGGGTTCATCTTTCACACTCTCTCTACCACGCTTAAATTCTGCTATCCATTTTTTGACGGATGAATATGACAGAGCACAATCGCCTAATGTACTGACCATGTCATCATGGATGGCTTTTGATGATAGCCCCTTCTTATGGAGGTACTTAATGACGGCACGCTGCTCGATTTGCTCCATTCGCGGAAATTATGTCCGATTACTTTGTTAATAAATTTATAAAATCACAACTAATTATCGCACACGTTTTGAACTTCACACAATGAACTAGTCTGAACTGAACTAAATAATGTGGGTAGATTTGATTTTTAGAATTGAATGGATCTGTGTTAGGCCGAGTACTTTTCAATCCACCCTCGTAGATAACTGTGCTCCACCAAATCTAAAAGCTGAAAATGATCTCATAATTTCGGATGCCCTAGAAATATGTGAAATATTCAATGAATTTTTTGCGATCATTGAAACACAACTGGCAAACAAAATACCGAGTATGTTCCACAAAAACACCTCACACACAGTACCTCTTGAGAGTCTTGGTCCTAGCATGTCGCATCGTACACTGTCTCAATTCAATCTATGTACTGTCAGTGAAGTAACGAAAATAATAAATGACCTAGATCCCAATACTAGTGTGGGTCTAGATGGAGTTAGTATCAAGGCTCTCAAATGTATCAACAGTTTAGTAGTCCAAAATACAACTAATTGCCTAAATCGATTATTAGCTGAAGGAATTTTTCCGGACAACCTCAAAACTGCCAAAATCACTCCAATTTATAAGTCTGGTACAAAATCTAGTCCGGAAAACTACCGCCCAATATCAGTTCTACCTACACTATCTAAAATTTTAGAGAAAATTATATACAAGAGACTAGACGACTATTTAACTGAAATCAACTTTATGTATGACAAACAGTTCGGTTTCTGAGCCAAATCTAGTACCCTGGGAGCAACAATTGACTTAGTAACTACGATAAAAACAAAAATTGATCAAAAACAAGTAGCACTGGGAATATTTGTTGACTTAAAAAAGGCTTTCGACACTGTGAGCCATAATTTGCTTCTAAAAAAACTAGAAAGTATTGGCATCACGGGAAAAGTATACAAAATGATGGCATCATATTTAAGCAGTCGTTACCAAATTGTAAAAATTGGGTCCATTCAAAGTAGTCCCAAACTTCTAACGTGTGGCGTGCCTCAGGATTCTATACTCGGTCTATTGCTATTCCTTGTGTACATCAATAACATATACCAAGCAGGCTTACAAGGCCAAATATCCCTTTACGCAGATGATACGTGTTTATTCTATTTTTGACACAATATCGATCATATCATAACACTAGCGCAAGAAGACTATCAATATAGCCAAGACCTCATATATAGTTTTCAGCGCCAAGAATAAATAAAACTCCCCAACCAACTCACTTTGTCGATAAACGGAGAAATGTTACAAAGAAAAAATCAAGAAAAATACCTTGGACTGATTCTCGACAGTAATTTAACTTAGAATGCACATCTTACACAAATTAAAAATTAACTTTTCTCTCTCGTTGGCCGCCTGCACAAAATAGTTCGATATATTCCGAAAAAAGCCCGAATCCTAATATATAATGCTTTAGTAAAACCTCACTTACTTTACCTTGTAGAGGTATGGGGCAATGCCGCTAAAACCAATCTTAAACCTATCCAAGTACTACAAAATCGTATCATAAAAATTTTGTATAACTATGACTTTTTGACACCAACTAAAACAATATATAAAGAAACTAAACATTTGAACGTTGCTCAGCTTTATACATATAGTACATGCATACGAATATACAAAATAAAACATAAATTAATTCACTCACAACTCACATTTTTAACAAAGAAGCAAACAAACAAATACATAACACGCCGAGCTAGTCACTTTTTATTGCCGTTTATAAGAACAATTGTAAAAATAATATAACGTATAAGGGAGCAGTTATACAACAAACTACCTAAATTTGTAAAGGAAGTGTAATCTTTGAATGCTTTCAAATAGAAGTTATTTGCCTACCTATGCTCACAACAGCTAAGTACTTAATCTATTTCATTATTAAATAAAAGCGAACCACATTATTTAACTTGGATTATAAGGTGGTGGTACCTTATAATTCAAGTAAGCAACAAAGATATTCGCTTCTTAAAAATGCCATCCAACAGAGTTTTATTTATACCCGCACTACAAATTTTTATTACTATGTTTATATAATTATTGTTCTCATATAAGTGACGATTGTCTTATTGAGAAATAAAGATCTTTAAACCGAAATAGTTTACTGTAAAAAATCCCCTTCTTCTCCTTTTTATCTTTTTTTGTATTTTCAGATGCAATATATAAATATTATAGAACCAGTGACACTTCCAAAACTAAGACGTATCTAACGATGCCTCTTAAGATTAAATGCATCAACCCGTTACTGACGTGCTAAGTAAATAGACATACATATTCTCGAAAAACATTACCCTATTTCAGTGGATTTTGATAGGCTGTACAGAATTATATGAGTATATATATATATTTTTTTAAATATAAAATGAGGAGGCAAAGGAGCATGCAGCTCACCAATATGCTCATCGAATAACAAAAACAGCAAAATAAGTAACTAACTAGCATATTAATACTTAGTTATTAATATGCTAGTTAGTTACTTATTTTGCTGTTTAAGTTAACTTCACAGATATTGTTTCTTCTGAGATAGGATTTCTTGTTGATTCTTCCAAGGACAAAACCAATAACGAATAAAAAAATATAATTTTCTGTGATATTATAATTGAAGCGTCAGTCATTAACTAATTTAATTTGTCAGTATTAGCGAAATTTCATTGGATTTTCCCGTATCTGAAACGCTTGGTGGGCAAGTTGGCAACCGCAGATTTTATTATTAAAAGAATCTAAAGATAGATGCTGCTGCTCATCTCCTGTTTCAGTTTCCCTGTTGCCTCTATTAACACCCGGTTATGATATGAGGAATTGGATATTTTTACGGCTCCAATACACAGCTATTGATTTACCGCCGACCATCCCGCGGTGTGAGTGCTATGATGGATGTGCAGTTTACACAGCAAAGTACTGATCATCCACATCCACAAATCAGTGTAAGCATGATGAAATCCCCCCAATTGTGCTGAGGACGTGTGCTCCAGAGTTGGCACCGGTTCTAACGCGTCTTTGCTGAACAAAGTCTCGGATTAGGGCTAACTAAATCTAGTCCAGTTCAATGCCCAAAGAACACAAGTTTGCTCGTTTACCGCTAAAAAGAACCCCTTTGTCGTATCTCCTCAGTTACAAGGGACTCCCCTTGTTGCCTCAGCCGGTATTGGAATTCTAGACGTTGACATATCAAATGATGTGCAGTTTCGTGGTCACTTGGAAGACAAAGCCAAATCGGCCTCTAAAAAGCTAGGCGTGCTCAGCAGAGCGAAACAGTTTCAAGCCGGCACACCGCCTGCAACTTTACAAGGTGCATGTTCGGTCACACATGGAATACTTTTCCCATGTCTGGGTCGGGGCTCCCCAGTGCGAACTCCTTCGTCTTTACCGCATCCAGCACAGAGCGGCTCGAATCGTCGACGACCGAATACTTTCCGACTGTCACGTTTCTCTGGTGCTGAGAAGTGATTCCCCTGCATTTTCTATTGCATCTACCACGGGGAGTGTTCTGAGCAATTGTTCGGATTCATTCCAGGCGCCAAATTTCACGAACGCACGTCGCAACTAAACTTACGATACCATCCACTCCATCTGGAGGCTTGGCGGTCCACCACTGTACGGTTTTTCTAGGAGTTTTCTTCCTCGTTTACTACCAGCGATTTTTCCGGACCGACACGACTTAGGGAACTTCAAGAAAAGACTTTATTCTATATAAATGTCCGGCAATGCACCTGCAATACCCTAATGTTGCAGTTGTTCATGAGCGACGGTAGTCACATACCAACAGGTGAACCGCATGCTCGTTTGTCCCCTCCTCTATAAAAAAAAAACCTTTTAAAAATAGGAATAAAGTCAGTAAAATCTTTAAATAACTTATAATTATTTAGTTAAATTTCTTTAGTTCTTGTTTTGTCTAAAACTTTCATTCATAACTTAAAACTTACAGTGAAAATTTATAGTAAAGCACTAACTTTAGTTTTAACGGAAGTAGTCGACCCGACCCTTCTGAGTCACGAAGTTTACTTCGAAAGGCGGCTTCCGTATCTCTTTATAGCACTAATGGGTTCGAGGAGAGTATATTATTGCAAGTTATCGCAAAGTTATAGTTTACATAAATTTAAGTATAATTTAGTCTTATAGTGGTTAGTATTGTATATATTATAATGCACGAATTACAATTTACGCAAATTTAAAGGAAAATTTTATTTTATTAATACCGATCTAGTTATGCTCTTTGAACTTAATTGAACCATTAATGACTTATGACACCACTGTAAAGCTATGAACATATTCACAAATATTCATCCAACTGTGACTGCCGATCTCAAAGTTGTAATCAAATGTCAAATACTCACATAGGCGACGAGGAACATCAAACGTGCCAGACATTAATTACTATGATGCCAGTCACGTGGATTATTGAAGATGGGTAAGGTGTGGCGATTAAAGCAAATGTTTCATATATAAAAAGATATATAAATAACATACTGTTATAGAGTAATAGGAAATCAAGGACATGTACGAGTTTTTAAAAGTTAATTATTTTGTTACAGCTGGCGTAAGAACGGTGGACGTTCAAGCGGTGGAAGGGATGGTGGCGCAGTTTCCTTGTGACCTCGGTACTGCCGCTAATGACAAAGTCTATATGGTGTTTTGGTTTCGGGATGATGCTGGTATACCACTTTACAGGTAAGTCACTTTTTGAAAAATGGTCCTTCGAGCAGGATTAATTAGGCATAATTTTTGTGTTTATTAGCATGCAAAAATTTGTTCATAAATTAAAAAAAAAAAAACAAAATTATAATTACCAATAACAATGAGAGAAGATTAGAAGTGACGTCAGGTTTGACATGGAAATTTGTGTTTGGGTACACATCTCACATTTTTTATACATGAGTTCTCTTTATTATCTTAGAATTATAGGTACCTATACTATTACTATTTTACTTAAAACTTCACTTTTTGTACATTACAATAACATTTAAATGTCAAAAAGCTGTTCGCCTTACTTTAATGTATGGTAGTGATAGTTGGGTGTGGCAGAAGAAGCACGAGAGTAGAATAAATGCTATACAAATGCGGTCATTAAGAAGTATGTTAGGGATGAATCTAAATGACAGAGTGAGAAATTGTGTGATAAGAGAAGACTGTGGTTTGCAAGAAGATGTCGTGACCAGGATTAAGAAAGGAATGGTTCGGTGGTTTGCTCATGTAGAAAGAATGAATGAGGAAAGAGTGACAAAGCAAATTTATGTTGCAGAGGTGAACGACAGAGTCGGGAAGGGATGCCCTAGGTGAAAGTTTATCGAACAAATTGGCGATATATTGAAAATGGGCCAAATCAAGAGTAGCTTTAACGGATGAGCGTGTATGCGTAGGTGTATGGATGTGGAGGAAGCGAGAGGGGTGTGTCAGGATAGTGCTAAATGGAAGTCCATAGCCTCTGCCTACCCCTCTGGGTGACAGGCGTGGGTGTAAATATATATATATATATATTATATAAAAAGCTGTTACAAAAGATGATCAGTCTGTACTTTTATATAGATAAAGTTTATTTTTGTATTCTTTTTTATTTTAAGACAGTGTTATAGGTTGGTGAGTCTGCTCGTGATTTATTTGTCAAGGTACTAGTAAAATAACAGTACTGCAGCAATGTTACTTAGCTTGCGCAGCGTAGCTTACTCAGCGGCTGAGTTGGTGACTGATTCGTTGCTGCTACCTTACCAATATTATATAACTATTGGAGTATTTTTTATTTCTTGTTTCCTGTGAAGTATTGTGTTGTAGTGACGAATAAATATTATTTAAATTTGTAAAAATTTCAATAAGAATTAATATCAAGAAATTCCATGAGATTTTCTGGATGGTAAAATACATCGTCTGTCTAGCGAGTCGAGAACAGGTAATATGTTCTCATAATTTTTGCCTCTAAGAAACCGTGCATCTACTTTGTGCTCCGATGTATTAAAGTATACAAAATCAATACAATTACTGATTGTGAGGCATTGTGTCGTAAATTTCAGAAGTCAAAACGCATCTATAGCCTTCTTTGTTAATTGTCGGCTGCAGGTTTTATACGTGGTAGAGCCATGCTGCAGCTATATTAGTAGTATAGCACGAATGGGTCGGCTCGATCGGGGAAGGACCACGCTCTCACAGAATACCAGCGTAAATTAGCAGCTTGAAACTGCTGTGTTTCATATGGTGAGTGTAGAGAACCGGAGACCCCTTTCACTAAAAACGAGGCATTCCATCTTAGTCCTCGTGGGTGACAACGCATCTGCATTTTGATTCGCAAATGTGGATAGATGTCTATGAACCACAGTAACCACTTACCATCAGGTGGACTGTTTGCTCGTTTGTTTTTTTTTTTATTTTTTTTTTATAAGATAGGGTGACAAACGAGCACACAGCACACCTGATGGTAAGTGGATACTGTGACCCATAGACATCTACATCTATCCTCAATAAAGATTCAAGATGCAGATGCGTTGTCACCCGTGAGGACTAAGATGGAATGCCTCTTTGCCAGTAAAAAGGGTCTCCGGTTCTCTACACTCACCATACGAACATTGTCACCCTTATACTATAAAAAAGAGGTTTCATGAACTGGGGGTCAGCTCTTACCGTCAGGACCACCGTATGTGAACTGAAGTAATATAGTAAATGTAGAATAGAATCATGTTCTTTATATATTTTAGATAACATGTAAATAGGGTTACCTAATCATTATCATCATTACAGCCATTCACAAGTCCACTGCTATATATAGGCCTCCCCCAAGGAATGCCACAAAGTACAGTCCTGAGCCACCTGCATTCATCGACTTCCTGCATGTCTTACCAGGTCGTCACTGCATCTAGTGGGGTGTTGTCCTTCTGGAACGTGATCCTACACTGCTGGCCGTTTGAGGAAGCTCAAGGTCGCTCAGCGATCTATGGAGAGGGCTATGCTCGGGATTTCTCAGTGTGATAAACTTGTAAATTAGAATATCGGCAGTAGAACCAGAGTGACCAAAATAGCCCAATGGATTATTAACCTGAAGTGGCAATGGGCCGAGTTACCTAATATTTATGTATAATTGTAATTAGTAGGGTCACCTAAAATACATAAAGAACATGTTCTTATTCATTCAGTTCTGTCATATATAGTTGCACCAGCTTATTCCCTTACTATACATTAAACTTACTCCTTCAGGATAAATTTATTTTGGATTTAATAAAAAATTAAACTGACAAAAATTAAAATATCATTTAATGAATGAAGAATCAAGTGTAATATTTACCTATATTGTAAAATATCATAAAATATTCCATGTGAAGACGTAGTAAGTTTGGTTATATTTTTTCAAGACTTAACGTAGCTACCGTCGTTCGTTTCCTTAACAGCGCAATTTAGGCTGCTTTGGTTGTTGTTCGATAAACTTAAGGGTGTTGTGGCACGATGACAGTACCGTCCTTTCGTATCGTACCCGTGGGTATCGTAAAAGGTGACTCGTGTCTCAAAGACACGAGATGGCTGGAAGAGCGATTGTTAATCTACGTGCTTAGCGTTGCGACGGTAGTCTATCTTCCCTATTACCGAACAGGCCCCTGTCAGTTAGTGGACTGTTACTCGCCGATAAAGAAGACGGAGGAAAATAATTATGGCTTTTGAAAACCTAAATATAGAGATAATACTTTTCTCTAAGCAAATAATATAATTATTAAAATACGTTAAATTTCTTTGAAAACCTTAACTCACGTATATCGTTGTTAATTATTAGTTGTTCACGCTAATTTAGTCAGCAATAAAACTAATAAATCTAAATAAGCTTTACACGGGGGTAAAATAATTAATTCATGCGCCTCGTGTCTGGCTCTCGACGAAAGTTCTCATAACTTACAAAATTCACAAAGTGTGAATTGGCACAGTACCCTTGAGTGTCGATGGTCCCAAAGTTGATATACGTGTTAAATTATATCATAGAAGTTAGTATCTTAAATTGCTTTTCATTCTTAAATTAAAGTAAACTTTAAAATATTTTCTCTCAGAACTTTTCTATTGAAATTTTACCGCGGCCGGTACCTGCAAGTGATGATAAGAGCTCTCCCTCGCTTAAATGTTGAGTATTATGTATTAAGTGAGGAAAAAAACAACTAGTTTCTTTTCTCCGTGGTGGCTGAAATTTGCTTATTCTTCTCCACCTTTGTAGTAAGTTGACCTTTGCAGTAGTGAAGCTACTTTGTTGTACTTAATCCGCTCTTTGTGAGTCGCGGAGAGTTTGAGAAAGTATTTACTAATTACGGATATCACTCATGGAGAAGTCTTACCGCTTCCTTTGTTTATATTGCTACTCTGTAAAAGTACAATTTTTTTGATTATTACAATACTATAACATGGATCATACTTTGATGACAGTAAAATTTTGTAGTTTGCGAAAGGTAACGACATTTTCTTAGTAAGATTTTATGACACCAAAATCATATGAAATATTCTAAAGCTGTATTTCTATGGCATGCGATTTACTTTATTCAAGTTAATAATATTACTGTTATAACAATAAATCTATACTAGACTTTCATAAAATTATTCACAGATTCCGATTGAGCCCTAGCTCCTGAACTAGAAATCTTATATATCAGGATAAAGTGTCATCCAAAAATTGTTAATGGAATTATTAAGCGTCTGGTGATGTCACCATAGATATTAATAAATAATATGCGTTTTATCTAGTCAAGTTTATGGCCTATTGAAGTGGTTAAAATTCCTCATATCGTATTATTTAAAACTAAATTGACTAGTTGTTGTTGTTGTTATGTTTCACGAATGAAGGCAGGCAAAGGTCTTATATCATACAGCCTTGTTTGATGTGTATTTTATTCACAAAACCCTTCTCAATATACTATTGCGTTACATTGCGAAATTATAGGGAGAATTTGGCGACTGCTTAACCAGCGCACATTTAATGCCGATAATATGTTAAGGAATGTATAAAAAAACTTATGACTTATATTACTGCCGAAATACTTTTTACATCGCTTCCACTAATGATTCACACGCAAAGATATTTAATATACAAAGTTGCACCACTTTTACACATCAAAATTCACATATAATCATTATTTAAATAACAAAATAGGAGCTGCAATCCACCGGAACCACCAAACCTGTTGTTTCTTAAAATCACCCTAAATTGTAATGTAAGATTTTAACATCAGTTAACATCAGTAAGCTAATCTTACTGATGTTAACTGATGTTAAAATGTAAGATTTTAACATCAGTTAACATCAGTAAGCTAATCTTACTGATGTTAACTGATGTTAAAATCTTACATTTTAACATCAGTTAAAACGTAAGTTTTTTGTAGCTATCGCCACGACATGATCAAATAACGTAAAAATAAAAACCTAGGCCAACTACACAAATAGCTTTGCGTTACTTAATGCATTAATATATTGGGAAGTATATTTCTACAGTCCGTACGGACAAAGAATGGGATTAATATGGAGGGTCATCGAGCTCATTATGCTAACATGCGCACTAGCGAAAACCCGCTAAAAACGGTATATCGTTATAACGTTATATTATTCGTTTAATTGGATTTTTTTTATTAATGGAAAAATATTTGAAAGGAATTGTATACGCAAGTGTGTATACTTATTTTAAAATAACATTTATAACAAGCAACCCGCTCTGGCTTCACCTG